ATAAGTGACAAGCAAAAATAAAATATTTTAAATCGTTTATTCTAATAAAAGAAAGCACAGAGCGTGGAGGACAAAAACAAAATAGTAGATACAATTGCAGATATTCTTTTTTTTCGTAATTGTTAAATATAATAATAGGTTAGTTTAATTCTAATCCTAATGTATAATAACTATTAAAATGTTATTTTAATACAACTTAAATCAATTTTGACATGACATGTCAAGTATACGAGGCATGCGTAAATATGTAATGTTAATTTTTTTAAAGTTAAGTTAGTGTATTTTATGTTAAATTAAAGTTAATTTCCTTAAGAGTCTATATCAGATGCAAGTGAAATATAGTCTCGATTTTACCACACCCCGCGCAGGCCACGGTGCATATATACAGCCAAACCGAAATTATCGCGGCGAATGTCGAAGGTGGCCGATGTTTTAGTTACAGAACGGCATAGTAGAACATTTCAGATCGGGTGATGTTGAATTATCAGAGGCGGAGTACTAGAGGTTTCGTACGACATAAACCGACGAAAAAGTTGTATTGCGTCAAGCTTATAAGCTAAACAGTAGCGAAATAAACGAATTTGTATGTCTATATGGGGGTGTTAGTTTATAACAAAAAATTTTACTAAATATACTTAATGATAATAGAGAAACAACAGTTCATTTAGAAGGTTTTATTATTAATAATTTCTAGGAGGATTTCTAATTTCTAATTTTCTGACAAACCTTGAATCTATCACTTCTGGCAGAAGAGAGAAAAAAATAAAAGTTGTTCAATTGTTTACCCATTTTTTGTTTCCAGAATTCGTCATCTCAGTGGATCTGTTGAGAATGGTAAAAAAAATTTGTATGAATGAATCGTCGCAAAACTGGCAACAGCCATTGCTAAAAACTGTCTAAATATCCTACCACTTTGAATCGAATAAGTGTTAGATATTTTTTTCTAGCAATGACTATTGGTTAATTAGGCTTCATACTGATTGATATTTTGATAATAATATGTTTTCGATATCTTCTGATTTTGTTTCTAATTTACTTTATTTTCTTGTTTTACATTTTTGTGATATTTTATTTGTTTATTTATCTTATACAGAGTGACTCAAATTCGGCAGAGTACAGGGATCTTCGAAACCATAAGAAATACGAAGTCGGTTAAATGAGGACAAATTTGCGCATTTATGAGAGCAGTAATAATCTGGAAAAAAAATTCCGAAAATCCTTACACTTTTCAAATTTTTTCGAGGAAAACAAAATTTTTGACTTTTTGTTTTTATTTTGCTCTGACTATTTGTGAAGTTACAGGAAAATTGAAAACACTTTTCAATGCAATATTTTCCTGCGCATATTGTGATGTCATCAAAATTTTAATCAGACGTTTCGTCTGTCCTGGACCATCGTCAAGTTCATTTTTTTAATACGGACCTGGATTATTTTTCATACTGTTTTGTCGCCTGTCCCATTTCTGACTTCAATGATGTTTGCAAACCTTCCTGATGTCAAAAAAAGTCATCATCAATAAACCTTACCCTTCATGCGTCCTTGTCCTGCAATTAATATGTAAAAACAAAAAAAAACCGAAATTATTTTATTTACTTTGTTTAAAAATAGCTAAAGAACTAAACAACAAAACAATTAAATCGTTAATCTACAAAAAATGTCCATTTTACCGTTTCTTATTAATGCATAGTATTATTTTAAAAATTTTTCCTATAAAATGGAAGTATCAATGTGTGTCATATCATTCAACTGAATGAAAAAGGCGATGAAATAATATGAAAAATATGTGTTATTTTAAATTTAAACTCCAATATTTTTATCAAATATGAAAGATTATGATGATGTTACATATATTGCTGAATTCAGAAAGAATTTTTTTAAATTGAGCTGAATATACAGGATATATCATTTAGAATAAAAAAAATTAAGGCAATTTCCGGTCAAACCGGAAGTAAAAGATATGTATGTCACGCGCATATTTAATCAGTATTCGGAATGTCATATGTCCATTTCCGCATATTAATGCGCGGTGTAATTTTTTTTATTTTTCAGTTTTCCGGCATTTTCTTTTTATTTGACATTCAATTGTTTTTAATTTTCGGATTCCCTAGAAAAAGGCACTTAAGTTTAATTTTTGAAGTTTTTTTCCTAGGTTAAAAATACAGCAGGAAAATCGAGTAAGGTGCACTTAAAATGATCACCCTGTACATGAGGTTACTGCGTTTAAATCAAAAATAAAAATTATCATATTCACCTTTCATTGAGCCTTTCATTCTCCATATCAATATTTAGAGACGGCAAAATGGAAAAACTTTCATTTATATTAGTCTCTCTACAGAAATTACCGCGGAAATAAAAGAAAATTATTACTTTTATTAATTTATGAAAAAAATTCAATTTTCACTAGTACTTACTTTTTATATTTTCTCTTTTGGGCTAATGTTCGATTTTTCGGTTTTCTGATAGGTATTTACGCTTATGATATGTTTTTTTTTCCCATTGTTCTTTCACTGCACTAATAATCACTTTCAATAACACGTCTAATTAGGTGTACACTTGATTTAAAAAAAAACTGGTACAACTCTTGTAATAGAAAATCATAGTTTAGTTGTGTGCATATGTCTGTAAATAGGGCTGGCCAGGCATGTCGAGAGGGGGGTGGAAAAGAAGTGATATACCCCGGACCTGGATTTTTTGGAGGAGATCGGTTTTCTTTGTGTTTTTAAACTTATTAAACCTTTCTCTTTCTTTTATTCAAATGGAATTTTAAAAAATAATTAGAAAATAACTTTTCCAAAACATTTTCAAGCCTGCCATATTATTGTTTAAAAAAATAATATTTGTTACGGATAATTCTACTAATGGTTGTAATTAAAATACTAACTGAATAATGATAATTCTATTTTTAAAATAAGAACACAAAAATACCACTTGAGATTAAAAAAAATGTAAACAATGCAAACTGAACATAAAAATACAATAAATAAATAAAATAAATGAACTTCAATTACGTAATACAGAATTAACTAATAATTTGTCATTGCTCCATTAGCGTCTAAAACTGCCTGAAGTCTTGCAGGCATGGACAAAATCAGATTTCTTGCAAGGTCAACTTCTTGCGACAAGTTCTCCCAAGCGTCTTCAATTATCCCTTCCAATTCTTGGGCATTATTTGGATGGTTATTTAATTTTCTTATATGTTTCACCATTAGTCCCCATACATTTTCAATTGGATTTAAATCCGGACTTTTAGATGGCCACGGTAACAACTCTATGTTAAGTCGCTTTATAGTTTTATTCTTCTGCAAGCAGTAGATATCGAAGCAGGGAAATTTGTCTTTGAAATTGCATTTACTGCAATCTGAAAAGGGTTTTCTATTAGGTAATTTATAAGATTTTCATCTTCTTGATTATTGCTCTTTCTGGGCCTACTGAACCAACTTTACGGGATACTGTTTGGTTGGTTTCCCATTGTTTTTTAACACTCATTATCGTGGTTTTACTCACATTGTATTCAGCAGCAAGTCTTCTTATGGACCAACCATCTTCAATTTTAGAAACAATTCGAAATTTTTGAATATCTGTTAGATGTCGAACCATCTTTAATAATGACGCCACTGATTAACGTCAAAGTGACATTTGTAAGATTATTAATATCAATCATAGAACGAATGATTTCCATAGCTAAAAGAAAGTGTACCAGTTTTTATTGAAATCAAGTGTACCCACTTTATAACAAATAAGTAAATTTGAGATATCTCTAGAATAGACACGCCACTGTTGTTTACGCAAATCGCAACGTGGTTGCTAAGTGCCCGATTCCCCCTTCCGCAAACGAGTCCAGTGTATGCAAGTGCATCCGTGTTTCCGAAATATCATGCGAGATGGCAGCTATTATCGGAATATAGATATGCAGTTTTTAGTTTTCTAATAAATTTATTTTCAACTAATCCAAGAGTTGGGTCACATGAATATAAACGTTACAAACAGTGACTAATGTCGGAATGTTAAAAAATTTGGATACAAAATATTTAAAATGCATGTGAAAATTTTTTTGACGACTCTGAAAAAAAAATAAGTTACCTTCCGATATTTTATACATATTTTTGTAAAATCTTGTAAAAATCGCACTCAAATCGGATAAGTTTTAAACGAGATATTCGAGAATTATGATTTAATAGGGTATATAAGACTCTTAAGAACTTAACTTATATTTAACAGAACAAATAATAAATAATATAACAAGCTCATGACAGAATAAGCAACATATTTTTGTGATAAAACAGCGCGTTTACATTATGGTCCGAATTCAGGTCATTTTATTAACATTAATTTTAACTCTTTCAGCTAATCATGTACGAAATATTCAATTTGTATGCTGTTATAAAAATACTTCATACATGGAAGATGGCCCATCACATTGCTTTATGAAGTACCATTACAACGAACTAAACAGTGTGAAATGGAAACGCTGTTTTCAGCGGAAAGATATTTTCAATCGAAATGATCTTTTAGGCTAATGGTATAAATAATGGCTTCTTAATCCTCCCTCTTAACGATCTAAGATATATTGGTTAAAGAATTTACGCAGTTGGTAAGCAAATAGTAAAATAATTTCATTGGTATGACATATCAATGCTAAAATGTATTGTGTATTAGTTCTGCCAGTTTGTGAGATTAGTCCAAACTTGTATATTTAGAAAGCATTGTCAAGGACGCAATTTTCAGATATGTTATTATAAACAGTGTTCATAAACTCTGAATATCCTCGATCCCTTTTTTCAGCGTCTTATTTAATTAACATCCTGGCGGAGCTTAGCACATTCCACCATCTAACTAGGACCGACACACACGCAACAACCATTCCCCTCAATATTTGCCAGATGCCGCAGTTGAGACTCGAACTCAGGATAGAGAGTGACTTGCCGTATTCTACCACACTACAACACTTTAGCTAACTGTACTATGGTCTGGGTGTTTTTAGAGACACCACTATACATGCATGCCCTAGCCAGGATTCGAACCTGGAACCCCTTGTTCTCAAGCCAAATGTGTAAGAACTAAGCCACTGAGCCGACAATTTTAAAGTATTTTTTTTTGTATATTCACAGCGATTTCTTTTGATCGAGAAATAAACCTAGAATCAAGGCATATGACAGATGTTGCTCAAATACTGTGATATTTTTGTATTATCACATACTACAATTTTCTCGAACACACCAACAAAAAATTTCTCGTTATCATAAATACTAGCAAATTATTAACTAATGAAGCCAATAACGACTTTGGGTCAAAGTATTAGTTATCAATGAAAGTAGTGGAAACTAGGATGCTGAGTCCGAATCCGGTGTTCGCTTACCCTTAAACGGCATTCAGAGCTCATTTCAAGGTCATTCTGAGGTAATTTCAAGGTTAATTTGAGAGAACAGAGGAGAAGCTGTCAAGAAATCTGAAAAAATTTATACATAAATTTTTGGGGTCGCTGAGTCCGAATCCGATATCGGTTGACCTCTATCACCTAATATTCAAGTTCGTTTGAAGGTTAAAGTAAGAATAGGAGGTGAAAAAAATTGGAAAAAATTTATACGAATGCTCACCTGCCTACTTATTGTCTGTTTATCTGTCTGCCTTTTTACCTGCACACCTGTTTGTTTGCTTGTATTTATCGTCCGCCTGCATTTTCTCTCTGCCCATCTACCTGACAACTTGTCTTTCTACCTGCCTTTCTGTCGGTAATTTTGTCTATCTTCCTGTCTGACTAAATGACTAAATGTTTCTATCTGTTTGTTTTCCTGCCGTCCGTCTAAATGTCCACTGACAGTCTGTCTGCCTCCTTGTCAGTTTGTCTTCTTACCTTTCTGCCTACCATACTCTCTCGGTTTTGCGTGACTGTACAAAAACTAGATTAAGAACTCAGCGACCCCAAAATCCTATGTATGAATTTTTTCAGATTTTTTTTAACCACCTTTTCTTAGTTTGACCTTCAATTAACCTTGAACCTGCCGTGATAGAGCTTAACTGACCTTGGCATCGGAATCAGCGACCCCAAAAACCCCTGGGTACCTAGGTAGAGTCTGGTGTTTTTTTTTTCAAACTAAATATTGGCCTGTTTTTTATGGTTAAGATTTGAAATTTTGCACACTTTTATTAAAACAAATATTCTTTGACGTTACGTTTTTAGTTTTCTGTTCTACTTGCAAACGTGATCAAAGAAAAAAAGAGAGTCGAAAAATTCGAATCTATAAAGAATAACACCGTAGATGGTCATTAATAACTACATGAATGAAATATAATTTCTTAATTTTCAAAAATAGATTAGACATTTTCTAGATTAATGTTCTCCAAATCAATACCAATATATCCATAATAGTACTAGTTCAGAAAACTAAAAGGAACAATATTAAATTAATCAAACTAAATCATCTCTGTGCACTAACGCACCATACGTTAAGCTTAGAGTTTCAGTTTATGATGGTATAACACCACCCAAACTCCTCCCAAGGTACACTGGCCACTGTCAATTATTATACAGCACTTGCTGTGTTTCGCAGAGCTCACATTATATTCTTAAGCCCTAAACTAAAAAGTAAAATTATGATACAGAGTATCATTAATTAATGTAGATTCAGTATAGTTAGGTTTACAAAAGAAAATGAGATTTTGCTTGCAATTGTACTTTCCTCTGAATTAATTCATTTTAGCCTCATAAATTTGATTTGTGATTTGCCCCCCGTTTAAACGCCTCACATAAAATAATAGTGCAATAATTTTTCTTACTCCAAGAAGGTTAATCTGATTAGGTATTCGAGTAATTAAAGAAATACAGACCTATTTGCATTTTAATGCAATATATTTTGCTCAGAAATATATAAAAATTTCTAAAACTTTGATTCGATATCAGCCTTAAATTTCCAACCATTCTTATTGTGTCGTTTATTTGACAAAAAAGAAATGTAATTTCTCTTTTTTATTTGCAGTTTGCGCATATATGATTTTAGTACCACGAACATTCAGAGATAACGCTGCAATAGTGTTCATTTACAAATCGCCAAACTAAACTATAATTTCTGCAATCTAGACTGCAGCGATAATCGCCGCGCATGCTTAATAAATATAAATTGAATTATTTTGTTATTTTATTATAAATTGTTTATATAGAGAGATATGAATGTAGAGTTATTCAATTTCAAGTTTGAAAATTAAGATTATTTTTATTGACAGAAAATTACAGTATTTTTTTAAATGATGAAAAAAACTAACCAGTTATGTGTAGTTAGTTGAACATAATCGTACGATATATTAGCAATAAGAAACAACGCTTAACATCTTAAAAGAGCGTTAAGTAATATATGTTGTTTATAAATTACATGATTATTATTTTTCCTACCAATACCTAACAAACTTATTTTGTCATCGGTACCTCTGTTTTTACCATCGAAAAACATCCAGCGCAAATCTATAGTTTACTACAGCTCTCAATGGGTGGGCTCACGAGACGATAATGGTAAGCTCGAACTTTGTAACAGGTCCGAACACATCACGGACGGCCTGGTTATTCGCTCCGAGTCAAAAACACTGATTTATCTAATGAAGTTCTGGCAGGGCATTGCAAAATTAAAGACACCCGTCACTTAATAGATGTTGAGTACGATCCTACACGCCCAGAATGTGGTCAGGATGAAGAAACGTTCTATTACTTGGTGCAGTATAAGGCGTTACAGTGTCTGAGGTGAGATACTTTCTACACGGGGGACGCTGACGCTGCTGAGGGAGGAAGTGAGCTTTCTTTTGTGGAACGACAACTTGGCCATCATCAAGAGGTTGAAGAGGTGTGACGAGGGAACAAGTAGAGTATTTACTTCACTTGTTGTAAGAGGAGGCTGGCGCCTGGCAAGTGGACTACAGTCGAACGATTTTTAATCACTCCCTACCGTCCCGTCAACCGTTTAGTTGAAAGGGCGGTAGGGGGTGGCTAGCCTCCTCCTACCACTAAATATATTTTTATTAAATAAAAACACCGCGCTTTAGCCAACGACTCCACCGAGCCAATAGAGTCTATTACTAACCCTAATTATACACAGACACGTGCTTGTATTTAATTATTGAAATGCATCTCATTTTTAGGCTTATTCGTCGCCTAACAACTTTTCCTAATTTTGTAAATTTATTATGGAAAGTAACATATTTCAGTTATTTTTCGCCCACAGTGTAACATATAAATTACGACCTTCTGCAAAATAAGTGAGTAAAACTTTGTGGTGAAATTAATTTCCACATTGACACAATGTTGAAAAGCCACATTTCTCACGTTCAAAGCTAGATTTCAACTGAAACAAGCTTACACGTGAAAACTAAGATTAACTCTCTTTTCACGCCTAGAGTGATGCCATTAGCAGACTTAGTTCTGCTTTGCACTTGAAAAACTCGTTCGCTTATAAATAGGACGAGACACTGGTTAACCTCAACTTGTTCTAGGTACAGCCTTACAATTAAGGGACCTCATAGAAGATTACTTAGTAATTGATAGAGGGTAATTAGTGTGCAAGGTGACTCTCAGTCATTGCTTTAGATTTATTGGGGTCTCGTGGGTTTTGTTATACATTTTGTTCATCTCGTTGAATATATGCCACTTAAACTATTAGTCCAGAAATAGTAATTGTTTATGTAGGCTATTTATTAGTTTATAATCCGTATAATCTAGTAAACTGTCCGAACTAGGAAATAAATTTAATTTTATTAACTATGTTCGTCGTTTATGGCGAGTTTGTATGCTTTTTATGTAAACTTATCCAAGATTATAAAATACAATTCCTCAAACAGAGAATTAATATAAATTAAGCAGTAGTACAATTATAAATATTACTACATGTAAGTGCAGGGTGGTCCTTATTTTTCGTTTTTCGATTTTTCTTTTTTTGGTCTCTCCCCCTAATTGTTTCTTTTGATGAAATAATAAGGTGTGTGAAAGTTAAGCTCGAGCGGATATCGTTAAATTTTTTAAATCTCCATAACCAACAAAAATTAAATTGCTAGTTACTGTCACTAGAATGGATATACAAAAACTTCTTGGAGTTCCTCAACTGACAGCATTAACAGGACAAGCAGTCATCTGCTGTTTATGAACTGGTAAAGGAATGGGAACTAATGCTGTTCAATGTCTTTGTTTCGACACAACAGCATCTAATATTGGCCAAATCAACGGCGATTGTACCTCTCTTACGGACATATTTACGAACTAATTTTAAAAAGCGTTTTTGATAAAATTCTGCTTTCTCCTCAGGGCCAAATGTTGCTGTTTTATGCGCTCTCAGCAATTAGGTCAGAAAATGATAATATGAATTTTAAGCCCGGAGTTGAAGATGAATATACTCGAGTAGTACTGGGGTAAATGGAAGACAACAAAACCTTGAATTTCGCATAAATTATGTGCAAAAAATTTAATGTAGGATTATAAGAAGGTGCTGGAGATGATGATGATATTCTTCAGTGGAATTTGACCCCGCAAATAATTTAATCTTGTTGTAGGGGACGTTAATTATGTTGTTGATGAAATAATTTGCCAGGTGATATTCCACCGAAGAATATTACCGCCAACTCCAGCAACTTCCTATACACAATCCCCTCTGCATTAACTTTTTGCACATGATTTATAGCGAAATCCACAATTTTGTCTTCCATATTTAAAATCAGTTCGTAAATATATCTGCAAGGGAGGTATAAGAGGTCCCTTCCTAGTTGATGCTCCAGTAGTACACAAGCGTCATTGATTTTGCCAGTATTAGAAGTTGTTGTGTCGAAATAAAGACCTTGCATAGCATAAGTAATTTCCCATTCATTGACCAGTTCATAAACAGCAGATGCTTGATGTTGTCCTGTTAATGCTGTCAGTTGAAGAACTCCAAGAAGATTTTGTATATTCATTCCAGTCGCAATAACTATCAGCCTACCAATTTGATTTTTGCTGGTTATAGAGATTCAAAAAATTGAAAGCCTCTGGGGCAAGAGTTAACGTTATCCGATCGAACTTAAATGTTATGTACCTGATTATTTCATCAGAAGGAATAATTTTAGGGGT